TATCACATTGATTGATTTGCATATATTGAAGAATCCTTGCATCCCTGGGATAAATCCCACTTAATCATGGTGTATGATCCTTTTAATGTGTTGTTGGATTCTATTTGCTAGCATTTTTTTAAGGGTTTTTGCATTTGCATCAGTGATATCGGTCTGTAATTTTCCTTTTTTGTAGTATCTTTAGTTTTGGTATCAGGGTGATGGTGGTCTCATAGAATGAGTTTGGAAGTGTTCCTTTTTCTGCAGTTTTTTGGAAGACTTTGAGAAGGATGGTTGTTAGCTTTTCTCTAAATGTTTGATAGAATTCACCTGTGAAACTCTCTGGTCCTGGACTTTTGTTTGTTGGGAGATTTTTAATCACAGTTTCAGTTTCATTACTTGTGACTGGTCTGTTTATATTTTCTTTATCTTCCTGGTTCAGTTTTGGAAGGTTATACCTTTCTAAGAGTTCATCCATTTCTTCTAGGTTGTCCATTTTATTGGCATAGAGTTGCTTTAGTAGTGTCTTAGGATGCTTTATATTTCTGCGGTGTCCGTTGTAACTTCTCCTTTATCATTTCTAATTTTATTGATTAGAGTTCTCTCCCTCTTTTTCTTGATGAATCTGGATAAAGGTTTATCAATTTTGTTTATCTTCCCAAAGAACCAGCTTTTAGTTTTATTGATCTTTGCTATTGTTTTCTTCGTTTCTGTTTCATTTATTTCCACTCTGATCTTTATGATTTGTTCTACTAACTTTGGATTTTGTTTGTTCTTCTTTCTCTAGTTCCTTTAGGTGTAAGGTTAGATTGTTTATTTGAGATTTTTCTTGTTTCTTGATTTAGGCTTGTATAGCTATAGACTTCCCTCTTAGAACTGCTTTTGCTGCATCCCATAGGTTTAGGATCATCATGTTTTCATTGTGTTTGTTTCTAGGTATTTTTTGATTTCCTCTTTGATTTCTTCAGTGATCTCTTTGTTATTTAGTAATGTATTGCTTAGCCTCCATGTGTTTGTGTTTTTTACGTTTTTTTCCCTGTAATCTATTTCTAATCTCAGCATTGTGGTTGGAAAAGATGCTTGATATGATTTCTATTTTCTTAAATTTACTGAGGCTTGATTTGTGACCCAAGATGTGATCTATCCTGGAGAATGTTCTGTGTGTACTTGAGAAGAAAGTGTAATCTTTTTTTCGGATGGAATGTCCTATAAATATCAATTAAATTAAACTGGTCTATTTTGTTTAAAGCTTTTATTTCCTTATTAATATTCTGTCTGAGTGATCTGTCCATTGGTGTAAGTGAGATGTTAAAATCCCCCACTATTATTGTGTTACTGTCAATTTCCTCTTTTATAGCTGTTAGCATTTGCCTTATGTATTGAGGTACTCCTATGGTGGGTGCATATATATTTATAATTGTTATATCTTCTTCTTGGATTGATCCCTTGATCATTTTGTAGTGTTCTTTCTTGTCTCTTGTAACATTCTTTATTTTAAAGTCTAGTTTATCTGATTTGAGTATTGCTACTCCAGTTTTCTTTTGATTTTCATTTGCATGGAATATCTTTTTCCATCTCCTCACTTTCAGTCTGTATGTGTCCCTAGTTCTGAAATGGGTTTCTTGTAGACAGCATATATATGGGTCTTGTTTTTGTATCCATTCAGTGAACCTGTGTCTTTTGGTTGGAGCATTTAATCCATTCATGTTTAAGGTAATTATCGAAATGTGTGTTCCTATTACCATTTGCTTAATTGTTTTTTGTTTGTTTTTGTAGGTCCTTTTCTTCTATTTTGTTTCCCCCTTAGAGAAATTCCTTTAGCATTTCTTGTAGAGCTAGTTTGGTGTTGCTGAATTTTCTTAGCTTTTGCCTGTCTGTAAAGCTTTTGATTTCTCTGTTGAATATGAATGTGATTGTTGCTGGGGAATATTACTTGTAGGTTCTTCCCATCATCACTTTAAATTTATCGTGCCACTCCCCTCTGCCTTGTAGAGTTTCTGTTGAGAAATCAGCTGTTAACCTTATGGGAGTTCCTTTGTATGTGGATTGTCATTTTTCTCTTCTTGCTTTTAATAAGTTTTCTTTGCATTTAATTTTTGTCAGTTTGACTACTATGTGTCTCGGCGAGTTTCTTCTTGGGTTTCTCCTGCCTAGGACTCTGCGCTTCCTGGACTTGGGGGGCTATTTTCTTTCCTGTGTTAGGGAAGTTTTGTACTATAATCTCTTCAGATATTTTCTCGGGTCCTTTCTCTCGTGTCCTTCTGGGACCCCTATAATGGAAATGTGGGTTTGTTTAATGTTGTCCCAGAGGTCTTTTAAGCTGTCTTCATTTCTTTTAATTCTTTTTTCTTTATTCTGTTCTGTGGCAGTGAATTCCACCGTTCTGTCTTCCCAGTCACTTATCTGTTTTTCTGCCTCAGTTATTCTGCTGTTGATTCCTTCTAGTGTATTTTTCACTTTAGTCATTGTATTGGTTGTCTCTGTTTGTTTTTTCGTTCTTCTAGGTGTTTGTTCTTTAATTCTTCTAGGTCTTTATTAAACATTTTTTGCATCTTCTCAGTATTTGCCTCCATTCTTTTCCCTGCGTCCTGGATCATCTTCACTATCGTTATTCTGAATTCTTTTTCTGGAAGGTTGCCTATCTCCACTTCTTTAGTTGTTCTTCTGGGGTTTTATCTTGTTCCTTCATTTGGTACATAATCCTCTGCCTTTTTATCTTGTCCATCTTTCTGTGAATGTGGTTTTTGTTCCACAGGATGCAGGATTGTGGTTCTTCTTCTGCAGTCTGCCCTCTCTGGTGAGTGAGTCTGCCTAAGAAGCTTGTGTATTTCCTACTGGGAGGGACTGGTGGTGGGTAGATCTGGGTGTTGCTCTGGTAGGCAAAGCTCAATAAAACTTTAATCCTCTTTTCTGCTAATGGGTGAGTTCCTTCCCTGTTGGTTGTTTGGCCTGAGGCGACCCAACACTGGAGTGTAAAGGCTCTTTGGTGGGGCTAATGGTGGAATCTGGGAGGGCTTGCACCAAGGAGTACTTCCCGGAACTTCTGCTGCCAGTGTCCTTGTTCCCGCAGTGAGCCACAGTGCCCTCCGCCTCTGCAGGAGACCCTCCAACACTAGCAGGTAGGTCTAGTTCAGTCTAGACCCATGCTCCTTCCCCATGGGTCATGGTGCACACAGTACTTTGTGTGTGCCCTCCAAGAGTGGAGTCTCTATTTCCCCCAGTCCTGTTGAAGTCCTGAAATCAAATCCTACTAGCCTTCAAAGTCTGATTCTCTGGGAATTCCTCCTGTTGCCATACCCCCGGGTTGGGAAGCCTGACAGTGGGGCTCAGGACCTTCACTCCAGTCTGTGGACTTCTGTGGTATAATTGTTCTCCAGTTTTGAGTCACCCACCTAGTGGTCATGGGGTTTGATTTTATTGTGATCGCGCCCCTCCTACCATCTCATTGCACCTTCTTCTTTGTCTTTTGATGTGGGGTATCTTTTTTGGTGAGTTCCAGTGTTCTCTTGTCAATGATTGTTAAGCTGTTAGTTGTGATTCCAGTGCTCTCGCAAGAGGGAGTGAGCGCACGTCCTTCTACTCTGTCATCTTGAACCAATCTCTAACTTTTCTTTCATATAGAAGAAATCAAGTAGGCAATTTAGTGTGGTCTTCTGGGACCAAGTCTTCTAGTTCTGTTCCTCCATTGTCTTTAAAATGTACCTCTTAGTCTAGATAACAGGAACGAGGATGCCCTCTTTTTTGTAACTTCCAGAAAGTCCTATATAGTACTTTCATTTCCACCTTATTGGAGACTTGATTAAGGTTTCACTCTCCAGCAAGGGAGGGACATTACATCTCCAAATAAAATTGGGTTCTATTGGTAGGAAAGAAAAGGCATAGCAGTTGTCTTTATGACAGGGAGTCAAAGAAGAGGAGTACTGTGGTCAGATACGCCTTTTATGATACTCTAAAGGTATTTAGGGTGGGGGTTGGAGAATGAAAGGGAGCAGGAAAGACTGGGGTTTTGGAGACTAATTTGGTTTTTCCAGTTGTCTAAGTGAGAGATAAGCAGATCTGATCTAGGGCTGCTGCTTTAAGAATGGGGAGGAAGGAGTATATATTAGTTGGGACTCTTGGTTGTAGGTAGCAGAGACCAAACTTAAATTGGTTTAACCACCCCCCCCCCAAAAAAAGGGGAGGGATTTATTATTAGAACACAAACGTCTCATAGGACATATAGGAATGCACCTGGGTTTTAGGAATAGCTCAAACTAGAGTCATGAATGCTTTTATGAATCTTCTTACCATCTTCCTTTTTTCCCCTCTAAGTTCTATTTTTGCTTTTCTTGATATAGATAAATTTTTCCTGAATTCTGTGCCTCATGACAGAAATGGTCTCTGCCAATGCCTTTCGAGTTCTCCTTTGTTATAGAGTAAACCATTTAGCCTTGGTTTCAAATTCCTGGAGAGTGACTATGATTAAAATTAATTGGTTCAGGTCCCTACCTCTGAAACAGTCAGTTGTGGCCCGGGATGGAGGTGAACTCCCATGATAATCATTTGGTGTTCACTGTAGTTGAGAAATCTTTTGGAAATGACAGTCATAGGTTTAGATGGGAGGAGTAAGATGATCCTGAGATTTCTGACTCGGGTAAGTGGGTGGTTGGTGATGCCAGGTAGCTTAATTCAGATATATAGAAGAAGGATCAAGTATTGTGGAAGTAGATGCTGGGTTCACTTTTTGTTCTTACTGTGTTCAGCATGGCATTTAAATATTGTAGGCAGTTGTTTAAATCACAGAAACTTTGGGTGGGTAAATTAGAAAGGTATCAGTATAATTGTGGTAGTTTAAGTCATGAGAGTGGATTTAATGTCCCAAGGGGAATGTCTAGAGATTAAAAAGTATAATTGGCAAAGACTGGAAACCCAAACAAAGTTGATATTTAAGGGTTGAGAAAAGGAGGAAGAGTGGAACCACACAGTTTTTATGCGGAAGTATGTAAATTTGAGAATTCTACTTATATGTTAAATATTCTTAGAGCTCTGAAGATGAGTGGGTTGAGGCTGTTCCTTCCCACACTTCTGGCGAGGAAAAGGCCTGGAAGGTGAAAGATGAAAAGTCAGAAAAAGAAGACAACGAAGTTATTCAGGTAAGCCGCCTGATTTTAAACAAAGCGTCAACTTATAAGAGTAGATGAATGTTAAAATGAAAGATGATTGTAATTTAGTAAGAAGAAAAACTAGACTTTGTAAACAGTATACTTTTATGAGTAATTTTAGCAATAATGCTGTTTGCTGATCCTTTTCACTCTCCTTCTTCTCCTGTGGGAAAGTTAGCATTTGTCCCTATTCTAGTCCCTCAGAGGGTTTCCTGCCTCTGGTTGTTGATAAGGAAGTGGCACTTTTCCCCTTATATATTTGAAGTCTTGTATTGTTGCATCTATCTGACTTTTCTACAGCGAGTAGAGTTCAGTCACAGTTTTTCTTTCCCTTCACTTCATGCCATAATTTTCTTAGCAATGCTTATAGTTGAATAGTTCACAAATTTTGGGTTATAGTTCATATGCCTGAGGAAGAATGTTATATTTACACTGTTAGCAACAGTGAAGAAAGAAAGGTGAAAAGAACTATGTTTGAGTGCCTATTGTATATCCGGCATTGGACTAGATGCCTTAAGTCAGTTTTCTTGGTAACTCCTTAAAACATTCCTGAAAGGTAGGTATTTTAATCCATTTTTACAGGGGAGAGAAGAAGGCTTAGAGAGAATAAGAAACTTGCTTTAAGTTATACAGCCATGTGGGATTTAATCCAGGTTTGAGTGCCTCCAGAATCTCTAATTTATTGTTAAGTGTTTAGTGTTGTTCTAATCAATTTAGATTGAAGTGACTTCTTTTTCTTAACAGAGGGATGAATGGATGACTGTTGATTTTATGTCTGTTAAAACTGTGTCATCATTATCACTCAAAGCTGAAAAGGAAACAATAAGGAAAATAGAGCAAGAGAAAACCCAAGCACTTGAACAGGTAAGAGAACATTTAAAATGCTTTACCTTTCTGATTTGCCTTTAACTGATACACATTTATGTAAATGCAGTTTTCCTTGTAAGACATTATTTTTTGTGGTATTTAGTAAATCAGTGGGAACAACTATGAAATGTGATATATTCTTTTAAATTTTTTTTGTAGGAAATGAGTTTAAATGTATATTATATTTATAAATCTAGGGCATATATGGTTGAGTACAGAATTTGGTTTATAGCTGAAAATCTTCAAGGTGAGAATTTAAAGCATTCTTGAGTTGGTAGTGCCTTGAAGTGATTGGCAGAAATAACTACCAGTCCTTTCTAAAGGCTGACACTGTCAATTTAGGTCTCACAGGTCTCCCAGAAGCAAGTTCTATGGCATTTAAGGTCATAATCTAAAATCACACTATACATGAAAATGTAACAATAGTCCATGAATGAGAGTCATCCGAAACAATAAACAACTGAATCAGACTCATAAAACCTTTATCTTTTGGAATATTTAATAGCTTTATATAGTAATAGGAGGTATAGAAAATATGAATAAGGGTTAAAAGTTTAATAAGAAGGCGGATTTGAGAAAGAGCCAATATTAGAAATGAAAAATATTAGAGTTGAAATTAGAAACTTGTAAAATGGTGAAGCAACAAACTGAATACAGCTGAAGACAGAATTAGTGAACAAGAAGATAGTCTTTAAGAATTTAGACTATCAAATTCAAGAATTTGAATGAAACATAGAGGCACAAATAAATGAAAAATATGAAAGAGTGATTATGAAGTCCTGTGATCAGTGTTTTGTGTTTTTGTTTCTTCCCCAGTTTGATTTTAATTCTGAAAATGTTGGTGTGGTAAACTGTATTGACTTTATAATTAAGTAGCTGCCCATTTGGAACTTTGGGGCCAGAGGTTTTTGGAATATCTTTACTAAGTTCTGTTTTGTCTCTGAGTTAGACCTGAGGAAGTTAGGGGGAAAGTACCAAAGGGGTGTAACCAGTGGGTAGTAGAGCAAGAAGGAGGAGCTGCATGAAGTCAGGAAGTTGATTTTACCCATTGTGATTACATGCTTTCTTCTGAAATCATGCTCTGCTGTTTGTGGGCATGAATGGTCTGGTATGTTCAGGTATCCCTGGCTTATGATCTTAGGTTTTGCACATATTCGTCTGTTCTCTATATCAAACAACGGAATGTAGTAAACTCCTGAGTATCTTTAATACGTTGAAACAGTGATTAGTTTTTCTTAGAAATACTGTTACAGAAAACCACCTTTCCTTTCCTAAGAAGCTATAGTACTTTGTCATGCTTATCTTACCAACTTTCCAGCATTGAATTACAGCTTTTCTAATTAATATAATCTTTTCTTACAAATTCTTATATAAACTTCTCTGATTCAAGTAAGTCAGTGTCTGTTGATTTGCTCATTTGCTTATGTAGTTTTTGTCTTTTTTTTTTTTGCATCTAAATCATTTTTTCCATTCCTGC